TGAAAAATACGAGACTACTTTGTTCATTTTTGAATAAATATGAGTAACTCAAATTTATTCGCTGCAAATATATTTACTCTGAGTACAGCTGTCTTGCCCCTTGGGCGAAATTGATAGAAACTTCCGCAGGATCTCTGGAGGAACTCGGCAGGATCTTCTAGGAAACATCGTTAGATTTGTCCGGTGTTAGTTAGAAGAAACTTTCAGAGCATGTCAAACTTAAATGAGCTAGAAGTCACAGGAATATTCTGGTGGACAGAAGTATCAGGATATGTAACTACGTAGGACATTGTAACCAGTTGGTTACAATCCGTGGATTTTCGTTTGTATGAGTTGTTGTTGTTTGGAAAATTCACGTATTTTAATTTAAAAGACAGAAGGCAACACACAGCAGCGAGAGGGTTAGTACCACTGCAAAAACACTCGAAAGATACTAAAGGGAGGACAATTAAGCTAAAAATGGAGAATGATCGGCAAAAGGCATGCGAGTGGCCATGTTGTAAAAGAAAAAACCTTCTAATTGGCAGAAGTAATCAGGCGTCCGTGTAGACCGGTATCGTGAAGTGTAGTGCATATACAATAACCCCCCCCCCCCCTTGTGGGGGTTTGGGCTGGAAAGCCTACCTCCGTTCAGGACCTCTTGCGCTCTTGTGCTCTTGTGCTTTTGTACACCTCGTACCGTAAGCAAAACGGTTTTACACGGCTCGGCTCGGAAGTCAAGATGGCTTCCGAGCCTAATAGTAAATGATCCTCGATCGTCCGTCAGGGACGATTCCCTCAGGCCGGCGGCCTTAATTGCCAAGGAGGGTCCCGTCTCGGCTCGACCAAGGTGGCCATGCCACGGTCAGCCGATGCCGTCAACGAGGGAAGACGCCTGCCAGCCAAACGAGCCAGCAACGCCTGCTGAGTCGTATGTGGCTGATGAACGCCACCAGATCCGCCATTCTCCCAAAGCTGCAACAACACTGTCTGCAGCCCGCGCCGCAAGTTTCCGGCCACACGGTAGTGCAGGAGCAGCCGTGTGGGCCAACGCCAGCGTCGCGACGCCGTAGGAGATCCCGCTACAGCAGTGAGTACTACATTTTAAACCCTCGCATACACGCCACATATATGTGAAAACCCACACCCACACGCCACAGAAAAGGGCAAATAAAAGTGTTAGAAAATGTGAATATTCCTGTGTGTTTCATACTTTGTCCGCGTAGCCCCTCCGAATACCCAGTAACATGCCGGCCCTGCGACACAGTTCAGGGGTCTCATGCTACTGAGCTAGTTACCCGGGAGTGTCTGGTCATGCCATAGTGACAACATTGCAGTGAAAGTCATAAAACAACATCCTAATAAAGCTCGAACAAGCTTCCGCGGAAAGATGAGAGAAAGGTGAGAGGGAAATTCTAAGAAACGTGGGACTAGTTTTAAGATACTTTCAGTGGAATACATAAAGAATGAATCTTTCAATGGGAATCAAAATAAACCTTTTACAGAAGATCATAACTTAAATACTTTCGACTTAAATAATTCCATCGTGTGCTTGTTACAATGATTTAAATGCTGAAAATCGGCTTTCCGAAATCTTCACGATTTAAATGAAAATACTGCAGAAAATTTTCCTCGGTGGATCATGAAAAAACAAATTGTTCATCTATAGTTTTTATGGAATAGGACTAAACAGATTTCAGTTTTCCTGAAATTAATGGTACTGTCCTAAAGTTCTCCAAATTTACCCAAATTTCTCGGAACATCTCTGAAGCTTCTGCATTTTTTCTGGAACTGTCCTGAAGCTTTCAGAACTGACCCAAGGTTGACTGAACACTAGTGTACACTTTTCCTGAAATTAATGGAACTGTCCCAAAGCTCTCGAAATTTACCAAAATTTCTCGGAACATTTCTGAAGCTTCTGCAATTTTTCTGGAACTGTCCTGAAGTTTTCAGAACTAACCCAAGATTGACTAAACACTTGTGTACACTTTTTCTGAAGTTAATGGAACTGTCCCAAAGTTCTCGAAATTTACCAAAATTTCTCGGAACGTCTCTGAAGCTTCTGCAATTTTTCTGGAACTGACCCAAGGTTGACTGAAACGATTTTTGTTCAGTTTTCCTGAAATAAATGGATCTGTCTTAAAGTTCTCGGAACTACCTTGAAGTTTACGCAATTTTCCTGCAACTGCCCTGAAGTTTTCAGAACTGACCCAAAGTTGAATTAGAAGATTTTTCCAGTTTTCCTGAAATTAGTGGAATTGGCCTAAAGTTCTCGAAATCCACCAAAACTCCTCGGAACTTCTCTGAAGTTCCCCACAATTTTCCTGAAACTGCCCTGTAGTTTTCAGAACTGACCCAAGGTTGGCTGAAACTATTTTTTTAATTTTTCAGAAATTAATGGGACTGTCCTAAAGTTCTCCAAAATTACCAAAAGCTTTCGGAACTTCCCTGAAGTTCCTGAAAATTTCCTGGAACAACCCTGAAGTTTTCAGAACTGACCCAAAGTGGACTGAAAAGTTTTTTGCAGTTTTCCTGAAATTAATGGAACTGTTCCAAAGTTCTCGGAACTTTCTGAAGTTCCAGCCTTTTTTATGGAACTGCACTGAAGTTTTCAGATCTGACCCAAGGTTGACTTAAACGGTTTTTTGCAGTTTTTCTAAAATTAATGGAACGGTTCTAAAGATCTAGAAATTTACCTAAAGCTCTCGGAACTTCCCTGAAGTTGCCAAAATTTTGCTGGGAGTGCCCTGAAGTTTTCAGGACTGACCCAAGGTTAACTGAACATTTTTTTTGCACTTTTCCGGAAATTAATGGAACTTTCCTAAAGCTCTCGAAATGTATCTAAAGTTCTCGGAACTTTCCTGATATTCATGTAATTTTTCTGGAACTGCCCTGACGTTGTCAGAACTGACCCAAAGTTGACTGAAACGATTTTTTTAGTTTTCCTGAAATTAATGATACTGTCCTAAACTGCCCATAAAAGCATGGGCACTGGTACTGTTATGGATTTGTATCACAAATGAGTTATCCATTAGAATGGATTTAAACTACCTGTGCACTAAAGGTTACATGCTTTGTTTTGAAAATATGGTGAAAATTACCAAAACTTGGTGGTCTCTTGCATAAAAGTCTACGGATAAATAAATGTTCAATAGCATTTTTCTCGGCTTGGTGTTTTTCCAGATGGGACTGATATGCTTTTATGGGCAGTAAAATTCTTCAAATTCACTTAAAGTTCTCGGAAGTTCCCCGAAGTTCCCAGAATTTTCCTGGAACTGCCCTGAAGTTGTCAAAACCCAAGGTCAACTGAAATAATTTTTCAGTTTTCCTGAAATTAATGGTACTGCCTTTAAGTTCCCGAACTTCATCAAAAGTTTTCGGAACTTCCCTGCAGTTCCTGCGATTTTTATGGAGCTGCCCTGAAGTTTTCAGAACTGACCCAAGGTTGACTGAAACGAACTGACCTGAACCTCGGTGGTCTTTTTTGAAGTGAATTTGCCTGAAATCTATGAGACTATCCTGAAGCTATCGACCATAAGGCATTTGTACTTGATGGGAGCACTAATGGGAACACATATTTGAAGTCACATGTGTAAGTAGATTTTTTTTAGCTTGGAATATTTTCATTCCTCATTAAACCAATGTGCTCGACAATATTTTTAATTTTTGCTCCACCGTGTTATTTAAATGGGAGCTGGGTACCTGAATACTCTGTCAAGCCCATAATGGTTAAAGGTGCAAATTTAATCAGGATGAAGACAGATCATTTCATATGTTGAAAATTTTGCTCATGTGAGAGCTTACTAATCTGGATGGGTGTCCAAAAATTCCCTTTTACATTTTGGAGTATAAAAATTGAAAATAATTCGACGCAACTGACAGCCACAGCATGCTATTAATTGACCAAATCCCAAGGGTGTAAAGTGCGTGGCGATGCTGTGAACAAGCACGTAAGGGGGCAGGCGTGCTATGTCACAGCATCGTCACGCACTTTGCACTTTTGGGGTTCTGTCAGTTAAAGCTGATAACCTGATACCAAATGTGAATTTTTCTCTGAATTGGAATATTTAGGTTGTGTCCCAATTGCTGGGACTAAGGCTGTGTTCCATTCGGTGAATTTTCACTTGAATTTGACATTTCGAAAATAAATTATAATGTTCGAAAATCGCTCTGTTGTTGGTCTTCTGATTTTCGAGAAGGTGTTTGTCATAATTGATTCCTGGTCTGTCACAAACAAGTCGGATACAATAGCAGGTTTATGTGACAGCTTTCTATCTGTCAAATTAAAGTGAAAGTTTACCAAATGGAACACAGCCTAAATTTAGCTCGTATTTGAAAGTGACAGCAACGGCTTTACTTCTTTTCCGAAGGAAGGCGTAAGCTGAAATTTATGGCTTGAAAAATTCCGATGCTGCTGGCTGGGATTGTTCCCAGTCACGCTTTAAAATCCCTTGGTTGTCGATCAATCGGTTTTCGAGCAGAAGTCCCTTAAATCTTACTTTTGTCAATCCAAAATTACCACGATCGTTAAATTTAACCAGTCAATTGGAGGCTGATTCGAATGTTGCTTAAATACTTGTTTTGATGAGTTTCAAGATTTTTTGCGACAAAATAATTGCTCATATCTCATTTTTTTAAAGTAGTTTTGTGAAGGGATAAAGATAAAATATCGAGTCACTCCTTGAAATAATATTTACGAGCTGATTTCAGCAATCTGAAATCGCTCCAAATTGGTTGAATGAACAACTTGGAATTTGTTGAATAAACGTTTAAAACTTGCTCACATGTGTTTGTAATCAGTTTAGGGTTTTTTTAACACTGTTTATTTCAAATCGCATTATCGATATCGATCGACTTTTGATTTCGCATTATGATCTCAAGGTACTGGATTCTTAGCAGTTTCTTCATCACGATATTCATTTTTCACACACATAGCTGGTCGACAATACAGCTTCAACCCGCGATCACAAAACCAACGACTCTACTTACTAGTCTAACATCCTACCACGTTTCACCCGGCCTTATGATGACCTGCCGGCCGATGCCGCCCGCTGTTCCGCGGTCCTCTTCTTCGGGTCCAGCAAGTCCTTTGCCTTGTCCTGGTGGGCCGTCATGTGCCTCGTCAGGTGATGCCGCTCTCGGAAGCTCTCGTTACACACCGGACACTTGAGCTTCTCTTCCCGTTTCCTCCGGTGGGGATCCTGCTGGTGGTCGTTCTTGTGATGCGATCGCATATGGTAGACCAGATCACTGGTCATCCGGAAGCTGATGTTGCACTTCGCGCAGGTATTCTGTGCAGACAGGGAAAATGCACCCATCGCCGACGGCAGCAACGTGGACAGGAATGCTGCGGCAGGATTCCGGATCATTCCGTCCATTTCGGGGAGCAAATTTGGGGGTGCTCCAGGGCCGAATGGCATAAACGGCGGCGATTGAAAGTATCCCTGGGGCAGTTCCGATTCCGGTTGGATAGGTGCTCGGTACATCATTTGCTTCGTTTTAGACGCTGGGGGTGGAGTCAGATCCGGGGGAGTCTGAGGACTTCCGTTCATGAAGGGGTAATCGTAACGGAAGTTTGCTGGAGCGCCCGGGCTAATGGAGATGGGTGGGCTCGTTGATGGACAACTGTGCTGATCCGGACTTAGCGGCGGGATGGGAGAATCCGATACTGTGATGCTGGTTACTTTGGAAAATGCACTTCGAGGAAGTTCCGAGTCCAGGAAGTTCCCAGCTGCTTTTTCACGAATTGCCATCAGGCTTGAATTTTCGTAGAATCTCACATTTGGCAGCATGTATGCCAACCGATCATTGCTCAGATCCTGGATCGAATGTGGACTTCCCTCTTGCGGTCGAGGTCTACTGAGCAAATCAAAATTAAAATTCCTTTCCTCGACGGGACGAATGGGACTGAATCCATTTTTCACTGACAAATCTTCCGATCTGGTAGACTGCGTTGAATCACTTTCCACGTCAATCGTCGGAGAATGAACTTTCTTCACCTGTTTAGTTTTCAACTTTTCGTCGGGCATCATTAGGAATGCCACATCGAACGAACGTTTGCCGGAGTTCTTCCCGGTTCTGAAATTATCCAACTTGGTTTGAGCCATTTCTATTCCACTCACGTCACTGTCGCAAGCACTCGAAGCACAATGTCCGTTGATTTTCACATTCAACCGAGACTGTCTAATGTCCATCGTCATTGTCCACTTCAACCAAATCCTTTTCAATCTCCAGGACACACTTCTTCTTCGGCAATAGATTCAAATTTATTCCACACACGATTTTTGCCAAAGACACTTTGATAATAGTTCCAACCGAACTGAATGAATTGGGAGGAGAACACTGCGCCAGAAGCCACTTGTTTCCTCGAAATCTGCTGCTAAACTGTTTTTGATTGCCAGCCAGCGCTCGAATCTATACTCGAATTTGGGTAGGCAGGTTTAACACAACCACCACCGTCCTCCTCTACCCGCCACGTGATACATCTCTGGCTTACCACCGAAAGCGGGAGGGAAGAGAAAAAATCACGAACATATCGTTTCAAGCGCGCACACACACTCACAGAATGAACCGCGGAAGACCAAGATCCAAGAGCGAGTGTGCACCGAGAACCCCTTGTTCCGAACGAGAACCAGACCGACCGGCAATTATAATGTACATAAACATAGGGACCCAAAGCATAAGGGTAGGAAAATATTGTTCCCTCATCAGAAGCAGAAGCAGCAGCAGCATGCTCGTTGGAAAGAGAGCGCGAGAGTGAGAGAGTTAGAAAGAGAGAGAACGAACACGAGCATCACACATATGCACGAATACATGAAAAAGCAATAGAAAAGCTTTCAATATGATATATTTTAGTGCGATATATTTCAACCCGAATCCCCATAGCCCACCCACCGCAGCTGGCCCCCTATAATATGATGGGAGACGGAAGGTCCTTCTGCTGGTCTCATCAAGCGAACATATTCTAGCTCCGAGTTGTGCTTGTTCAGCGCGATTCTCTCCCTCTCTCGCTCGCTGTATGTGGCGGTGTGTGGGGGGTCGGTCTTGGGTGGAGGCTGTGAGGCCTGCCGTGGGATGAATCATCACTGTGTCCTTATGTAAGGTTTCTGCTAGAGCGTAGAGAGCAGGTTCTCGTAAATTTCGTACATTGAGCCTGATGGGTGAGGCAGTGTTTGCAGCGTTTGGTATCATTTCGTAATCAATATATTGAGGACTGCATGGGAAATTGAAAAACGGAAATGTTTTGAATGTCTGTCATTTTTACCATTCTTACAAAGAACCAGGGGCTGGCCCAAAATTATACTTGGGGGCTACAGCTCCAAATGATAACCAAGAATGTTACAAAAAACTATTGTATGGTGGCAACTCTGAAAAACGTGATAGAATTAGGGTAAATGATGACTTGGGCACCAATTGACTGTTATCGGCAACCAACATTTATACGTTAATTTCACTGAATTTTCTCATCAAAACACCTCGCTGAATATATTCTACGGATTCCTTAATCTAAGAGCTTCAAACAGATTAATTTTTACGACTAAGCAATCTTGTTATGCCAGAATTTTCTTATCGTGAAATGGTTACACAGCTGGTTAGCACGTAGTTCAAATGGAAAGGATCGAAGAAAAGAGGCTGCCGACAATAGTCACACTAACCTGCGCAGTCTGCACACTTAGTTTTTTCTACCGAGCTCGGCTGTGCAAAACTCGGCAAAAAAGTTATACTGAGAACTCAGCAAACATTTCATTTGTTTGCTGATATTCAGCTAAGCATTATCCGAGATTGAGCAATCAAATGTCACTTTTGCTGAGATTTCTGTGACACTTATTTTCGCCGAGATTTGCACAGCCGAGCTCGGTAGAAAAAAACTTAGTGTATGGAACGTTGTAAAAACGTGTTCAAACAGTTTTTGACAATTCTGTCGATTTGAATGGGTAGAGAAGCAAGCAAACAAACAAACACGTCATAAATATGTATGCGTTACGCTGAGAAAATGGTAATAGAAACACGATAATACGTAAATTTTCCTTTAAGGTGATTCCTTGTAGCGTCCTTTCGCGTGTTACACTTCGCAATTTCACTTGTAAAAATAATAAGGTTTCTGTGAATGCACGTAGCTGAATTTAGTACTTGTTGTTTGCTGCGGAGAAGCAAGCAATGTCTGTAATTTGTAGATGTATAAACCTCGTAGATCTTGATTGATCTCGTGATGGAAAAATGGACTCTATAAGGAAACACCTTAAGCAGAATTTAAAGGGTTTTTTTCTGCGGATAATTTCAAAGATTAAAAAAAAACTTCAAAGAGAATTCCGATAAAAAATATCAAAGCAATCATATTCTGGTTTAAAAAAAATTGAAGAGAGAAGAGAAAAAATAATCTGAAGAGAACTTTGAGGGTTTCTGAGGAGAGTGTTGAGTTCAAAGAAAATTCAAAGGAACCTTTTGGCAAAAAAGTTGTGAAGGAATTTTAAGAAGGATTCCGACAAACATACTTTTGCATGTATAAAATTTTAGTGGCACCGGTGGTGTAGTGGTTAGCGTGATTACCTCTCACCTCAGCAGGCCTGTGTTCAATCCTAGTCGGCGCCGCCGGGATGTTCTGGGGTATAACATCTCTGAACACACCTTCTTTCGGAAGGGAAGTAAAGCCGTTGGTCCCGGTTCATGAGTTGATAGGTCGATAAGTAGGGTCCAGGTGCGGGAACTGCCTCCCTGGCATCGGTAGCATTGGTGCTCAGCACGGTAAACAAGATCGGCGGAAACCAAACCTAAGGAAAAAAAAATATAGAAACCTTTATAATAATCGTCTTAAGAAGCTTCACCTGGATACTTCTTTTAGAATCATTAGAAGCTTCTGATGTTAGAAACCTTCCACCACATGATTCATCGGATTCAGACTCTTCCACTCAGCGATACAGGAAAGGTTAAGGAATTACAGTACATCTTCGAAACAGCGAGACTCAACGGATACAAGCAGACCACAATCCAGGCAATCATCGATAAAAAAGCTTGTGGTCTTGTAAGCTAAGACCACAGTTAAAACAATTAGGATAAGATTTAGTTTTCACCAGTAGACATAATCAGTTAAAATCATTGTTAGGATCCACTAAAGACCCAGTTAATGTTTTAGGTAAAGCAGGTGTACATAAAATAAGCTGTAATAATTGTAACAAAGTATACGTAGGACAAACCAAGAGAACTTTAGCAACTAGCTTTAACTATTTGTTTTTGTATAACTTCTGCGTGAAGTTAACGATTTACATAGTTGAAGATGCTAATTTCAAATAACAGACTAAAGTGGTAATTTTTATACGATAGATGGAGGAGATGAAAGTATAGAGTTGATAGTTCCGTTAGAGTACGGCAGTGTGAAAATTGTATATAGAGAATAGAAAGCGAGCAAAGGTCAATTTTGAGGAAGGTACAAATCGGTTTGATCATCTCCCGTTGGAGAGGGATGGTGAGGGGGGAGTTTGGTAAAGAGACTTCAAATCAAATGTTGCAGAATATATCTTCATAGAGGACCACCAACTATCGACGGAGGACATCACGATTTTACGAACCATATCTATACCATGGAAATTAGATGTTGCTAAGAGCCTCGAGATCAACAAACAATGGAATTCAACGTTACTCAACAGGGATCAAGGAAACGGACTCCCATGGCTTTTCAAGTTTCAACCTAGGACACATCAATGAGAAACCAACGGAGTGCCTGCTCCTACAGGAAATCAAATTTAAGTTTACCAGCTGAGTGTTAATAAGGCCAGTATGTATCAGTTAGTAATCTTCATAACTTTATATTTTACATTACTTTACGCTATATGTTGATTACGCTACGTCGAATAGCCCGTCGGACCCCATGCGCCCCGATGGTAACGGTGCTGAACATCCCACGTCAACAGCGACCCGGACGAATATGAAGCTAGTGAAGAAACTACCAAAACAAACATCAAGGGAACAATAGACGTAAAAGAGAAAAGGTGGACTGAGTGAAAAATTACTAGACGTGACGAACGGCGTGCTAAAATTTATCCTGCTATTTACACATTATTAAACTATCTTAATATTAAACCTTCTTATAGTTGAACTTATCTACTTACGAGCGATCGGCTTATATAGAAATTCATTAGGTACTAGTTGTAAAAGTGAATTCTTAACGATAAAAGTAAATCATGGATTCTAACCTAAAAACTATTATTACAGCTAAACGGTTTTGCTAGATAAATTTGGTGAACTTAGTCTATTTAACTTACCTATCTATTAAAAACTTAGTGACCTAAAAAGGTGAGAAGAATTGAACTATGTGCACCTCATAAACCTAATCGATCATTCTTACATCTAGCCAAATTATCTACTACAAAGATTAGATGTACGGCACGGTGCCAACGAACAGGTTATCAAGTTTGAGTGGTAGAGAACACTAAAGTAAGAAATTAAAATCTATCATAAACATCGTCTTAAAACTAATATGCTGAAATTTCGATAGGAATTTTGTAATTTACCAATAAACCGGAACTCGGAACGGAATCTTTACAAATTTGCTCAACTACCACCCAACATCTTACAAAATTCTTTAAGAACATCGAGAAATGTCTGGCAAGGCGTCAACTACTGGTTCCAGGTCGGAATTGAGTTCTGCCACGGGTGCTGTGAGTCGACTCTTTGCTGAAAGTACCACTGGTGGTGCGACAGACAAGAACACGGGAGTTCCAACAACCGATACAGATGTAGTTACCGGGATCAACAGTCTCACAATCGTGACCAACGCGAAACGCGGAGCGAAGGACTCGACGAAAACGGTAGCCAGTGCAAAAAGCCATGCGTCTGCGGTAAAGGAAGTACCTCCCCACCCAAGTTCTCAGGTAAATGTTGACGTTGCCAATCATATGAAGGCTCATGTAAAGGGAGCCAAACCCAAAATAAAGGCTGGTGCTAATATTAATGTCAAACCCGTCCGGTCAACGAATATCGCCATAAACACGAGACCCAACGCGCGACTAGATGTGAACCAACGCATTCACATAACTCGGTACAGTCATTGCGAATTGTGTAGTGAACGTGATTCTAGTAGAATGGTGCAGTGTGATGGTTGCGATAAGTGGTATCATTTGTCTTGTGTGGAAGTGACTGGTGGCGTAGCAAACCAAAGTTGGATATGTCCAAAGTGTCCATATATGCATTTCGGTGCCAGTAATCA